CACACACACACACACACTCACTCTCTCAAGCACACAGTCTGTACTGCTTCTCTAAATGTCCAGTTTCCGGGCACAATGAATGATGGAATCAGATGGATCGGAACTCTCCAATAAACCTCACCTTTAATTTTACTGGGTAAGAACTAACCCCACCCCAGGATGTTAATCAACTGCCTATGGCATTTGGTTACTTTGTAAAAGAGCCACGGCTAGAATCCAAGCCTTCCCACTGACTCTCAGAGACACTCTTTCTCAGTGCTCTGACCCAGGCACTGAGAGGCTGTGTCCAAAATGACTGAGTCGAGACTTTAATGAGTCATAGCCTTTTTAAAAATATGTATACTTTCACTAACTTGAGCATTGAGCTACATAATAACGTCTCTTTTACTGGCTTATTAAATATCACATTTCTTATGCTTGCAACAGAGGAATTTGTGGTCAGGTCATATTACCATTTAAAATATGTAGACTGTATCAACATGACTGTAGAATGTTCCATTCATTTTGAGCAGCTTTGCAGCTTATGTTAGTGGCGTCACAACGGGATGCATCCAACTGTATAATGCCCTTCACGAAGGCAACGGTTTTGAAAAGAGCCATGCTTTCGGCTCTTACCGCTTTTCTCTGCTGCAGACTCCTGCTTTGTGCTCGCCTTGTTCCATGAATACGCTTTGGATGGCCACGATATACAGAGCTCTGTGGGTAAGCTAGCATTATCTCTAAAACATTTTTATTTATTTATTTATTTATTTATTTATTTATTGTCTATATATGCATGCAAACGCCTGCGTACGTCTGTGCACCGGATACATGCACTGCTCAGGGAGACCAGAAGAGAGTGTCAGATCCCCTGAACTGAAGTTACAGACAGTTGTGAGCCATTGCATGGGTGTGGCAATCTAATCCAGGCCTGGAACAACAGCCTTGACTGCTGAGCCGTCTCTCCAGCCCCCGCCACTCTGTCTTACAAGTACGTACAGATGTCTGCATCTCCCAGGGCTACATGAGCTGCTTGAGGGAGCATTGTCGCCTTACTGATCTGGGTATCCCTGGAACAACCTAGATCACGTCCTCAATGACTGTTGCAGGGCAGGGGCTCCGCCCAGGGGAAATGTTTTCTAACGAAGAAAGCTTTATGCAAGGTTGAAGTCTTTTGTTGAAACGGGCTCTCTTTGAAGCGCGCCATTGCGGCTCTGTTCTGGGCCAGTCTTACAATGATCTCTTTTTGGCTGAAGTCAAGCTTACAAATGCGATCTGTTTAGCTTGGGGGGGGGGGGGGGAGGAAGATGGAAGAAACTTCCAGAAAGTTCTCTACCATTTTCCTTTATCCTCCAGGTATTTTTGACTATTAAAAAACATATCAGTCTTTTACTCTTTTAACATTTACCTATCTTGCCAGGAGTGAGGACAACACCTGTAATAACAGCACTCAGGACGCAGAGGCTGAGGCAGGAGGATGGTCATGCCTGGATAAGTTGAATTTTTGGACTTTGTCTAAAAATAAGGCAAAGCAGGAAGACGATAGCTGTCTTGGTCCCGTAAAGACTGACCCCTATCTTCGAGTACAGCTGGCTCTTTAGAGGTGACCTGGTGGTGGGCAAAGAGGAAATCAAGCTCTTGGTGGCCCGGTATCGGGCCATGCTGAAAACAACACTATGGCTGGGCTTCTCGGTTACCTACATCAGCGAACCGTGGTCTGCTGCTATTGTTGCCAGAAAACAACACAGGACATCCAGTCAGACTTGAAACTCAAATAAACAGTAACTTTTTTTCTTAATCCTAAGTATGTTCCAGAAATTGCATGAGGACACGTACTGCAAGCTTTGCTGTGGCTTATCTGAAGTCGAAACGCAGCTGGGTGGCTGTGTTTTTATTTGATAAATCTGGCAACCCAGCTTGTAACCAAAATGTGTAGGCATTGGTGGTAAAACACAGTGTTCACGAGGGAATCAGAAAAGCGTCTGTCGTTTGGGTGGGTGGAAGGCATGGGTCCTTGGCTAGATGTTACAGAATAACAAAGCTTGGGGGTGTTGCTCCCAGCATTGTTTCCAGAATAGGGCATCATAGTACTGAGCAGATGGGGGTAGGAATACAGGGGTCTGCACTGAGCCACGGACTGGCAGCTTAGACACATCCAGGAATATAAAAGTCAGAGTTGAAGTTAATCTTATTTCTTTGTGATAAGGATGTGTGTGTGTGTGTGCGCGTGTGTGCGCCATGGTACAGTGTTTGGGTTAGGGAACAACTTTGGTGAGTTGATTGATTCTCTACTTTTACTGTGTGGGTGTCAAAGATTAAAGTCAAATTGTCTGGCTTGGTGGCAAACAAGTTTACACACTGAGCCAAGTTGCTGGCCCTCAAGTTGACGTCCAAATCGTATTTAAGTATTTTCTCCAATGACTGACCCAAGGAAGGAGGAAAAGAGTGGGAGCCATGTGGGTGGTGGTCTATTCTGCCAGAGAAGGGAGACCCTGGCAACGATTTGAGGGGAGGTGTTAATGACTTGGCCCCTCCCAGGTGTGTGTCTCCCTTCCGAGTGTGACTGGTCACTGAGATCATAAAATGTTCAGCTGTGCTTACCACCAGACGGATGCACACCCTTCAAATATGAACCCTGGCTTTCTGTCTGAGTAACTTCTTTCTGAAAAACTGACTTTACCCATGGCTCTGACGTGAGACGTCATACTTAGGAGAGAGAGAGACAGAGAGAGAAAGAGAGAGAGAGAGAGAGAGAGAGAGAGAGAGAGAGAGAGAGAGAGAGNGGAGGAGGAGGGAGGGAGGGAAGGAGGGAAAGAGAGAGAAATTATCAACAGCTGACATCTGCTGAGACCGAAGGACAGAGTATGTTTTAGAAGCACACGTGGGAAAGAAAGCTGGCATCACGGTGTAAGACACAACACCCAACACCCGACAAGCTGGCCCGAATGGCTGCGCTGTGTCTGCCCCACACTGCCTTCCAGGCTCCAGCTTCTAAGGCTAAGCCTCCTGAAAGCATTCCTGGGTTCCCAGCTTCAGCTCTGATCCTTGTCTGGTCTTGGGTAATCTTACCTTCTTTCCTGACCCTGGCTCTCCAAAGCCCCACAGTGACACTATTAACATGGATGTGAGAATTCTGCTTGGGGGAAACAGTTGGCTACTGTGGTAGTTTGAGTGTAACTGGCCCCAATGATCTCATAAAGACACTATTAGGAGGTGTGTCCTTGTTGGAGTAAGTGTGGCACTGTGGGGGCGGGCTTTGAGGTCTCTTTGCTCAAGTTTGGCTCAGTGTGACAAGGAGACCACTTCCTGTTGCCTACAAGATGTAGAACTCTCAGCTCCTTCTCCAGTACCATGTCTGCCCGCATGCCACCATATCCCACCATGATGATAATGGACGGAACCCCTGAAACTGTAAGCTGCCACCCAATTAAATGTTTCCCTTGTAAGAGTTTCTGTGGTCATGGTGTCTCTTCACAGCAGTAGAAACCCTAACTAAGACAGATACATTCTTTCATTACGGCTGAGAATTTCCCACACTAAAGTTTCCAAAGCCTAACTGCCACCCTGTGTGAGAAACTGCCTCCTCAAAGGTAAAGAGAACTCAGGAAAATAATAAAGAAACCTGATGTAGGACGTCCTTCTGCATTCTGTGTTTCTATGTGTTTCTCTTACTGGTTGATGAATAAAGCTGTTTCAGCTAATGGCCTAGGCGGGAAATCAAAACAAAGATAAGAAGAGAGAAAAGCCAGGACAGGCTCCAAAGCCACAGAGAAACCCTGTCTCGAAAAACCAAAAAAA